TTCTCCATTATAGTAGGTACCCCTAATTTTGGGAAACCTCTTTCTGTGTTCAAGCGTTGGCGCGCATCATTCTGACCGAAGCTTCTCCTTCACCAGGCCATTGCCCAGCAAGAGCCCAGAAAGCAACAGGAGCCTGGGACGTGCCTTTTGAGACTTCGGTGCATGGGTCTAAGCAGCGGCCATTCTAAGGCTAAGGCCATGAAGAAACGCACAAATATGCACAACACCCTCAACTCTCAACGAGGGAAATGCCTTTTGGCTACCCTCTTTGAGGTATAGGCTGTGTGCTGAAAAGAACTCTTGAACTCACACCTCCCCCCAAGCCTCCAATATTCGTGTGTTCTATCACATGTTTTCCAAAATTTCCTTTAGTGGGTTGCTGTGAAGAGCCTTGAACTCAGTTCTCAGAATATGAGCATGGAGTAAACAAGAATGGCTCAACGGGGTTGGAGGGAGAGATGCGCCAGCAGCCAGCTCAGACTCCACTCAGCAAGGCAGCATCCGTGTAAGGGGCCATGCTGCCTGTCACCAGCAAGGGCTCATGATGAGAATGGCTCCTACTGTTCTTATTGACATCAGGCTGGGCAGAGCACTTTCCACAGTGGCAGCACTACTTGTCTTGCTGTGTTGCCATGACCGGCACTACATGTCCACATCCGGTAGGATGACCCTCCTGAAGAGAGGCAGCCTGGAAGGGCTAAAAGTCGAGATCATACCGTCTTTCCTATCAAAGACTAGGTAACCCTTGCACAAACACCCTCAAAGACGACCTTCAGTGATGCGAAACATAGATGCAGCGGCAGGGCAGAGCCATCCTATATACCGATACCAGGGCCATCATAGGCGCAAAGGAGCTGAAGCGCTTCTATTAAACCTAAGATGATGTTCAGTGGTATGCAGGATGTTGCCAGTCAAGCGTCCAAACCATGAGTTGCCGATTGCTCAGACATGTGGGGTGAGGACATGCGTTTTTTCTGCATCATGATGGATATGTCTCTCGCCAATCCGTGTGATTGGCTGCTAGCCCACTTGCTGAAAACGCCGCACAGCCAGTTGTTCGGCTGCTTGCAGCTGCCCCACGGAAGTGTTTTGGACAATGCCGCTGTACAAGCCAGCCCCCCCAGACCCCCTCTGAGTTGTTCAAGTCCATGATCGTCTCTGTCATTTCAAGCTTTGACAACCTAATCCCTAAGCCTTAACCCTGGCTCATTTCTCAAAGCATACTCTCGACGATGACAAGTGCCGCGGGCAAATCCACCTTTGGCAGGCTGGAGGCTCCCCATACCCAGCTCATTAACCCAAAGGGTCCAGGTACGGACCCCTAAGGTAATCCTCCGTGGTCCTTCATGTTTTACCTATCTGGAGGACCCTTCAAACTAAACCTTTAGCCTCCCTGCCTTTATCAGTAGAGCATAGACCCTAATTATCCCCAATGTCCATTTGATTTTCCATGTTCTTTTCCATTTGATTCTCCATCATTGTGCATAATATTCCTAAACCCAAAACCCTTGAACCCTATATATCCCTATAATACCCCGATATAATCTGCCCTATATCCCGATTTAATACCCCTTAGAGAGAGGCGAAAGCCAGCCAAGTTGCGGCAGGCACACTTATTGAGCAGACGCACTTGCAAACGATAACATCGATCTGTGACTAATAAACCCCCTCCCCTTAGGGTATAGGGTTTAGGGTTAGTAGGGAATATAATAGGGATCCTAATATTAAGGCCCTGAAGCGGAGGGCGTTTATTAATCACGGGTCTATATTACCTACTGCCCGCCGTGTCACTAATCTTGGTATCCCTACAAGCCCTTGTGGCATGGTCTCTATAGCCACTGTAACTGTCAGTAAACTAGCCCTACCGAGAGTGAGAAGTATCACCTAAACCGTACAATCTTTCATCACTGCAAAACAGTATAAGTAGCTCTAGTAAAACGAGGTCATACACACATACAAGGGACAATGATTTAAAACTACATGTCTTATTGTCATACGGTTCCTCACTAGGAAATATACACGATTATTTGGAGCTCGGTCTTCGCATCACTGGGCTTGGGCCACTGTCGCCAGACTTCTGCTGCGCCCTCTCCTGGCTTCTCATTGGGTCATACAATGGCCGGGTTCCTGATTCTTATCAGGGTTATATAGGGACAATGGAAAAGAACATGGAAACTACTATAACGGGCTTAGGTGCTAAGCAATTAAAATTAAGATATCACAATACGGGTAAATTCAAAATGGGGTTTCCTCATTATAGTAACTTATTTCAAGTTCCTTCACAGCCATCCAGTAGTTCAGTATCGTAGTTAGCCCCCCTCAAGTAGATAGAATATGGCTTTGGGTATATTATAATAAGATCCCTATATACCCCATATTCTATCCACTTAAGGGGAACTATAGCCCCAGAACCTCATGAGGGCCACGCGCATCACTAAATCAAAGCCGTAGAAAAATCTTGGTGAACACTGGAAAGCCTGAATACCCTAAACCCTAGACACAAAGCCTAGTCAGAACCTAGTTGAACCAATGCCCTACTACCTCTAAGCCCTGAGTCCCAAATACAGCACCTACTTCTTTGAGAGCCACCACAGAAAGGTCATAGGGTTTTGGGTTTTGGGGTTTAGGGACACCACGGTTAGGTCATACACTGTATCCTCTGCCTCTGCCAAGTAGACAGTATGTAAGTATTGTAGCCCTCTTCATAGCGTGGCTTCAGTGCACCCGAAACCTTCAGATTCTTCGCAAAAAGCTTTGTCTGGGTACTGCTTCGTACCCTCAGTCCTAGACACGGATCTCTGAAACAGGAAATCTTACATCATCCCCGATTTACCAAACCCTGAGCTTTAGGGTTTAAACTGCAAGTGCCTAAACACCCTCTAAAGCCCGGCAAACTCAAAGCTTCTGGGCCCCTTGTATAGGGAAATTGGGGTTGGTAAGGATTACGTGAGGCAATATGTGGATTATATAGGGCCGGGGGTATGCAGGGAAACCCTAAACCCTAAAAACCCTAAACCCCAAAACCTAATCACTCAAAACCCTAAATCCCAAACCCTCAAAACCCTGAACCACGAAACCTCAACGCCAAACCCTAAAAACCCTAAAAACCCTAAAACCCTAAACCCTAATCCCTAAACCCTAAACCCTAAACCCTATACCCTAAAAACCCTTTAAACGCTACACCCTAAGCCCTCTGCGCTCCTTGATTTCAGAGGCCTTGGCTTGAGCCGTCAGCAGCTGCTCCTGACAGGCTTCGAAGACTTCCTCAGCTTGGAAGAAACCAGATGGTTAAGGGTTTGAAGGGTGGTTTAGAGTTTGGGGATTTAGGGTTTAGAGATTTGGTGTTTAGGCTTTACGGATTTTGGGTTTAAGGTTCAATTTGAAGGGTGGTTGGGTATTAATTTCTATCGGATCTTTTCTCTAAGGCACATCAAAGCACAGTCCAGGCTTGACCACAAACAGCACCGCATCACATCCGCGTGTTTTTTTGGTTTTGGGTTTGGGGGTTAGGGTTTGTTGGGTACCGGGCTTAGGGGTCAGGGTTTGAAGGGTACAGGGTTTGGGGCATAAAGAATAAAACGTTTAGGGTTTCAAGGTTCAAGGCTTAAGGTTTAGAAGGATTGAGGGTTTAGGCCCTTATGGAACCTAGGCTTTACAGGAATTGGAGAGGCTTTCCGTCGGGTTTGTCTGGGGAGTTTGCGTGGACTATATAGGGATTATGTAGGAGTATATACGGCATAATAAATAGGCATAGCTATGCAGGCTTATTACGACAAAAATATGCCAATCTAACATAGAAATTGGCAGAGACTATATGATTTCACGTAGTTTTTGAGTCGGGCTTCCGTCCTAGGATGGATACTAGGAATCACAAAGGAAGGTCAAGAACCCAATGCGTCTGAAACCGGAAGTTACAAATAAGGGTTGACATGAGGCTGTTATGTTACACCACGTTCTCGTATCAGCCTGAAGTGGGAGATGTTGGAAGGTTCAGGGTTTCCGACAAGTCTAAGTAAAGCATGCGTGAATAATGGTAGAGTTGCTGGTGATGATAAAGTAGGCAGCCTTTATCTTGCTCGTGCCTTCAAGGATGTTTGATGTATTTTACTATTTAACCAAGAATCCTCCGGGTGTTGGGGGGTTGGGGTGGATCAGGCAAGGGGCATGAAGGGTCTCTTTGGTCCACGGATAAGAAATAGCTTTAGTAGCAATACACAATAGAGGCAATTTATTCTAGTATTACAACCTATGCTACTTGCAAGCTGATGCGTCAAATCGTTTTGCTTGATGGTGTTTTGAATAGGGTCGTAGGGCTACTGCGTTGGCACCAGGCTGAGATCTTTCTCAAAAAATGGCTCGGACGCATGCGTCACCCGTCAACAACTAATAACTTATGCGCCATTTTGGGAACTCCAATTTAGACTGTTTTAACATGTATCCACCGTCATACTGGCACATACTGGAACCAGCGGGAATTACGCGCTTGGGGCGGCAGGCTTACCATGAGCCACTTGCTACAAGATGAGCACCCGAGAAATGCGTTGAGGCTTTGCGTCGCAGCTCTCCGCATGCGGATGCTGCTGCAAAACCTAGCTACATAGCATCCCAGAGAGGTACTTTTGAATATGAACACTTCTAGAGATAGATCCGAGCTACCTGAGAGATCTTAGCAATTCGCAGTCAGTGGCCCCTCTCAAGGATTCTAAAGGAACATTTTTGAAGAACTGTCTTTTTGAGTCCCCCTTAGCCAAACTCCACCCTGACCATTAAAGCCTGAACACCCCTCCAAAATGCCCAGACATAATAAGAGCAGTTCGATTCCCCAACATCAAGTAAGGACACGACGACCATCCATGTGATTTTCCACTTGATTATAGTCCCCCTCAAGTAGATAGAATATGGCGTTGGGTATATCACAATAAGATCCCCATATTCTATCTACTTAAGGGGACTATATCCAGAGCGGGGTCTGCATTAAAACAGAATGCAGCCGAAGCCTCTGATGCCCTCGTGTAGCCCAGCTCCGCTTTCTCCGAATCTGCCTTTGCTGCCTCCGGCGCATGTATGGCCATTTTCAGGGTTATATTGGGGTTATATTGGGAGAATGGAAAATACAATGCAAACTGCTACAATGGCTTATATGGGGTTCAAAAGGATTTGCAAATGGCTTCTAATAACTTGAATCAGGGTTTCGGGATTGCGTGGGTTGAGGGCTGGATGTTGGTTTCGGGGTCCATGGCTTAAAGGTTTAGAGATTTTAGGTTAGGGAGTGTAAGGTAGAGGTAGTCTTGTCTTCATTGGTATTGGTAGTACGGCATGGTGGTGTTGTTCCTAACGTCTCATTTGGTTGTTGGCTCTCATCATTTGCAAAATTTGTGCTCCGGAAATTCTGAAATAGGGACCCCCGCAAAAGGAACCCCCAATTCCCCTTTTCGATCCTGGGAGCCTGGATCCCCCAAAACTTGCATACCCTGTATACCTTGGGTACTGCCCCAACTCAGTAACAGTTGGATAATAATTCTAATATGGTTATATATGGCCCTGAATAGGACCCCTAATATAGACTGTTACTGGGTGGGGGCAGTACCCAATCTATACCACTACAATACAAAACTCTACATTCGGACCCCTCGACCCTAAACCTACAAATCCACTTCGAGTTCCCATACAGCCCTGAGGTCCCCAAGGCTAACCCTGTTTTGAGAACGCTGAATCCTGATCTCTTGGCATCCCTAAGCCTTGTTTTTCCCTATCACGGTCCCTTACATTGAGGTTCAAAGGAATTCCAAGTGACTATAGCCTAGAAATGGCCGTTTTTATGATAACTCAGGATGAAAACGGGACTGTAGCTCCAGCTAGAAGGACTTACTAAGTCTCACCTCCTCCCCAAACCCTTTCGTAGTGGATGACCCGCGACCTCCAAGGCACGCTTCGTGCCAAAGCCGCTGTGGCTGTACTGATCCTAGGGCTGTCCGAAAGCAGCAGGGTTGATACTTAGATCTTGGGAATGTGATTTCTGGTGATTCTGGTATGCCATAAGTCCATCCAGAGCAACAACAGAAGTTACGTGGTTGAAGCGGCTTAACATGTGGTGTGAAATTGGTTTCCCAAACTTGTGAATTCTTTTTCTTCCATTTGGGATGTGGTTGTTGCTGCCGCTGTTGTTGTTGTTGTTGTTGCTGCTGTTGTTGTTGTTGTTGTTGTTGTGGGAGGGTGGGTGAAGGTTTGTATCAAATGTCAGCGCACCAATGCCCAAAGCAATACACAAATACACTGGCTGCGAATATCCCAACTAGCCACCAGCTATGTGTGGGAAGAACGCAAACCGGGCAAGTAACATATGCCCAGATGAACCGGTCTAAACTCCAAGTATCCCCTTAATAACCCCTATATAATCCCCTATCACCGCCCGTTTAAGGAGTTTAGACTATGAACTATAGCTCAGATACCACAAAGTCAAGTTACTGAGCTGGGAGGGGGGGTAGGGGATCCATCCGCGCACTGCAATCCTCAATCTCCCGCACCTCATCCCGATAGCCCCTGACCCTTTTCCTGACTGAGCATGCTTACGAAAAAAGATACTAAATGGTAACCGGTGTCCATTTTGAGCTCTTAAGGAACCATATACGATATTTTTCTATATATATATGTATAAAGAACCCAGGACTACAATGTTGGTCATTATCCCTATGATGCCTTACATCTTAACTCTAGAATTATGTTTCAGTTTGTCTTCCACTTGAACCTCCATCATCCCATAGTAGACCAGTATGAGCCTCTACTACCTGTCAACACCCTGGGGTCCCCCTTGGTCTTCAGCCGCTTGTACTCCTTCTCGGCTGCTGAAAACCTTTGCTGGTCTTGATTGAAAACACAGCGGAAATCAGGCAGGGTTGCACCATTGTTGTCGTACCCCTATTCTTCCCCAATACAGCCTTTATGTGAACCAAGGTGGTACCCTAGGCTTCCTTTCAACGGATCTCAAACCAAGGGACACAACCCTAGGAGCACAACCCTGAAAACCTTGAAGGCAAACACTTCAGTTGATTGAACAACGAAGGAAAAAAGCTCATCGCCACCAAACCTGACAAATGCACCCCAAACTCTGAAACCCTAAGCCCTGCCTGGACACTGGATGCCCTTGTTTTGGGGGATAGACTTTACAAAATTGCAGGATGGAGCCCGTAAAGCGGAAGCACATCCAGGGTCCAGGTAGAGGGTCCAAAGCCTAAACTCTGAAACCCTAAACCCTATAACCTATTGCTGAGTTCCTTGGCCCCACAAAGGTTAATCTGTGTACTACAATAGGATAAAAAATACCCCGGAAGGTTAGAGGTTACTAAGATAAAGGGCTCAGTAACTTCTTCTTCGCCTGATCCTTGGCTGTCTTAAATCGAGCCATCTCGGCCTTGGCGTCCTGCAACTTCTCCTCGAGAAATGAAAGCTAAGGGATCGAGGGATGAAGGCTTAAGGCTACAGGGACTGAGAGCTTAGGGTTAAGGACTTGGGGCTTCGGAGTTATGGGTTTAGGAATCAGGATTATGGGATTAAGGACCTCCCCACTCCCTCAGGCACAGAATTTGCACCACCCTATCTACGCCTATCACGGGCAATCAACACATGGAATCCTAAGTGGTCCAGGTGCCTCCCCCTCTCATAGACTAAGATGTCCCCCCAAAAGGTTCACAAAAAAGAGTTGAACCATGCGAGGAGGGAGATCGAGCCTCCAAATGGAGGGTTTAGGGTTTAGGGAGGGCACTTCTGGTAAAGTTTACTGAAGCTTGGCCTTTGCTGACTTTGCTCTCTATAGGGCCACAGGCCAGAAGGGAAAGATTCGCCAACGCTACTGGTTCTTAGTAGGGGACGAGGGAGTATAATTCTTAGATAATCCCTACGTAATGTCATTCCCTTCTTACCACCAGCAAGTAATATTGAATCGCATGACATTGCAAAGCCCGGCAAATTCACAAATCACCAGGGGGGCTTGGATATTGGGATAAGGGGGTTATAGAGGTTCTATAGGGGGATATGGGGTTAGGGTTGGGGGGGTTCCCAAAATTAGGGGTGCATTTGTGGAGGTCCCCTTGATGAGGATTATAATGGATTCTAGTATATTAGGGTTTATATTGGGGTCCGGATATCCATATATTGAGGGATTCGTGCTGGCCGGCATCCACCGAAAAAAGATGAGGTGCCCCGACCAACTCAACGATGACAATTGGCTTTATAGGCAGCGGATAGGACCAACTATTGACGGCTGGATATATACACTCATCGCACTGCGACTCCGCAACTCATTTGAGGAATCTCCCGCAACAATTAACCTTCCACCTCACAATCAGTACACATCACATGCCCTTCTTGTATAAAACACGTGTATGCATGCGGGAGTGTTTATCATTAAGGAGCGTAAGGGCAAGTTGTAGGAAGGGCACTATCAAGATCCCAGAACAAAACCCAATCTCCTTCAGGTTTCGCACCCGCTCACTGGCATTCTTCTGCCTGGTTCTTGCAAGCTTCTTCCGCCTCAGCTCCTTGGCCTTTACATCTTTTTCGACAGCTTTGCCCAACTTGTTAGCAGCTGTGGCCAACTTTTCAAGGTCTTGCTCTGCCTGCCTTAGCTCCTCTCTCTTGCCCTTCAGCTTCTGCGCGAGCGGCTTGATCTCCTTCTTCAGCCGGGCCACGACCTTGCTCCTCCGCTCCGCCTCACGAGCGGCTGCCTTGGCTTCGCGCTTACTTGGGGGAGCCTTCATGGCGCGCTTCATGGGCTTGGGCGCTTCCTCCTCATCATCCTCCTCCTCTGCCTCTTCATCCTCGTCCTCTACCTGAGCGGATGCCGGCCGCTTGACAACTCTGGCAGCTGGCTTGCGGAGCACAGCAGTTTCCTCCTCTGCATCCTCCTCCTCATCCTCTTCTTCCTCTTCCTCCTCCTCTTCCTCTTCGTCCTCCTCTCCTTCTTCCTCCCCGTCTGCGTCCTCCAACTGCTCTTCCTCATCGTCCTCTTCCTCTGCGACAGCGCGTCGCTTTGCTGCAGGCTTCTTCTGAGTGCCAGTGGCACGTGCGGCTGGACGCTTCATGCTCGGGGCCATTGCCACTGCAAGCGAGCAGCAGCAGACTTGTTAAAGCTACTGTGGTTGTTTCACTGTCTCAGCGTCTTGCCGCAGAATGCGCTACTAAGCTCTAAAGGTGCACCGGGCACAGAATGTCGCAGCAACTACTTTACCCCTAGTTCCTGACTGAGACAAGTGTTGACACACATGCCCCTGCACTTCCATATGCGAATGCCTTGTTTGCAAGTGCAGTGGCATCAGCGGCACTAGCTAACACTGTTCCCTGGGACACCTTCGACAGTTGTTGTAGGTTGCCCTGTAGCGAGCCGGTGCGTTGCAGCTGAAATCGCACGTTTCCGATAAGCTCATTAAAGAATTTGTGAAAGCTGGAGGCATGCGTTCAAGACATGCTACGCTGGAAGCCCCTCTGATGCTCCTATGTGGATACTGTGTGAGGCAATGGGTGTGCAGCGGCACCGAATTAGGTCCCCTTCTGCAATCCAGCTAGAGGAGAGCCTGGCCAGATCATGAAGCCATCTTACTGGGGATTAGTAGGAAGTGAGGGCTTGCATATAATATATTCCCTTGTTCCCTACTAACCCCTCAGAGATCATAGCCTTTTCCGATAAAACGCTGCAGTCTTGAACCAGTTCAAGCAATGCGACAAGCTCCACATGGCCTGAGCTGCTGCATTCGGCAAAGGCCTTGTGCAGGAAGTGCCATAGCTCACAGCTCCATCAACTAGGGATGTCATGAAAGGGTACTTGTACGACGAGTCTATGGCGGCTATATACTGCGGCTATATATTCCGATTCAAAGCACATATCAGGGCTGCTTTTTCTGAATAACTGCAATAAGATGGGTGTCAGTACACATTTCCGTTTCTGAGCAAGTTCGGTTGGAGAACCATTGCCAATCGGCAACTCCAACCAGAACCTGTGTCCCAACATGTTCCAATGCAGTGTGCTCAAAGCCGGTCTGGAATCTAAGCACATGAGAGGCTGTGTTGGGCCTAATCTTGATCTTGCATCCAACTGCTAAAAGGGCATCTGTGGAACATTCGCGCAGCTGTAAGCCATATTCAGAAGCATTCGTTGCTGTAGCTGCGGCGCTGCATGGAAGAACAAACCAGAGCAAACGTCTGCCTCCTCTCTCCCTCTCTCGAGAAAACCTAATCCTTGATATCTTTGAAGAAGGAAGGCTATCCCGCAAAAATATTAATGGGATCCATACAGTAACAACCCCTAACAAGCACAGCCTCTCCACCCCAAGGGGGTGCGAGGTCTCATTTTTTGGGATCCCTCATTCCCTCACCTAATTATAGCCGCCCCAAAAAGGAATTGGCCAAACGCAGCACCATCAGATCGCAAAACGTATCCCTGCAGCAGTGCTTATCTAAACCCGTTCATACTCCTCATATCCTACTTCTATCACTCTCTACGAACCACAAGAAACAGCAATAACAAAATGGCTCCGACTTCAACTTGCCTCGGAAAGTTTCACAGGCGCTCTGGCAGCTTTGGACGCTGCACCTCAGCTGGGGGGAAGCCGAAGCTGCTAATTGCTCTTCGGAACACTAATACATACCCCAGTATACACCCTATAATCCCTATACACTTTCCGTTTTCCTTTCTATTATAAACCCAGTATATACACCATAATCCCTATAGTTTCCATTTTCTTTTCCATTATAAATCCAGTATAACCCTGATACACAATGTTGCACCTGCTTTATTGTAAGGGTCCCCGAGAATGTGTTTCGGGGCCGGCTTATTCAGGATCAGGGCAAT